GGGGGGGGGGCGCAGGCCAGGGGTGAGGGATTGCCGAGGTACGAGCGAAGTCTGCGCGACCCGGGCAGGACAGCGTATTGGGTGATGTCCATCCGGCGGGCCAGAATAATGGCCAGCCTCACTCGCAGGGTCATTATTTTGGTCGAAGTAACGGCAGCCATACATTTTGCCCCGACCGGGCGAGCTCCTTTCGAGCAGGGCGAAGTCCTATTGGATGGCTCCACGCGAGAGCCTCCCTCACCCGAGGGAGGGGGCCGTGTGGGAGATCATAAAAATCACTCCCCCCCCCCTCTCTCTCTCTCTCTCTCACCCACACCCACACCCACACCCACACCCACACACACTCTTTCTTGAACACAAGGCCATGGGGTTGTTGGGGGGGCGATCAGTAGGGAGATACTGTGCGAGGCCCAGGGTGGAGGGGGAAGGAAAGGCGAGGCGGGCAATCGGGCCATCCAACAGGGGCACAACACGAGCGGTCGCCGTGCCCTTCGCCGGGTGTTTGGTGGTGCCTGTCCGTGTGCCCGTGTCCCAGGCTGTGGGGGTAATCCACTCGTGCGAAGGCCCTGGAGGCAGGAGGAGGCGAAAAGGCAAGGGCGCAGATGCCCGAGGCCGGGCGGCAGGTCGGCGCACAATCGGGAGCATCCGCCGGGATGCCCAGCTCGCGATGTTCTCTCGCCCGACAGGGAGGCACCTTGGGCCGGGGGATCGCCCGGAGCAAGTGGGCACTCATGCTTGCCTTCTCTCTGCCCAGCCGCCCCCCCCCCCCTCCCCCCCCCCCCCCCCCCCCCCCCCCCCCCCCCCCCCCCCCCCTCCCCCCGCCTCTCTCGCTCCCTCCCTCGCCCTCTCGCGCCGAGTTTGTCGGCGAGATACATTGTTTGTGTGGAGGTGTGTCCGCGCGCGAACATGTTCCTATGCACGAGTTGACCCATGATCGTGGGCCCATGGGGGCGCAGTCGGCGCCGGAGGAGATCCGACCGGCCAATGTGAGCCGGGCGAGCAATCCGCACATGTGCATGTCCTACGCATGCTTGTTATGGCGTAGGATGTGGCGAAGGGCCCGGTCGTGGGACCGGGTGCCTGATGATTGGCCCGTCCGTTTGAGGCTGCTGCACTCCCCTGCATGCTGCTTATTTCCGGCTGCCAGGGCCTGTTGTGGATTGCCGGCCAAGTACACAGCCACTTTCGGTTGGCCCCGGTGTCGACCATTCGGCCGAGGCGGTTATGGCCCGTTTGGGCTGCAGGCATCCTAAGTTTGCGCAGATCCCGCGCAGGGAGGGGAGAGGAGGTGAGGCTCCCGCCGATCGGGGTCGGTCTCAGGGGGGGGGGGCGGGGGCCTGGCTTCAATTCTAGACACTAGGGGGCCCCCGTCCGCTTGAGAATGAGCCACTCTTCGCCCACTCCCGAAGGTGTCCGGGATCAGGATCCCGGCCGGGGGCTCGTTCTCACTGTCTCTCTCTCCCGTGCCCTTCCCGCCTGTGGTGTCCAGGAGACCGGCGATCAGTGACTAATGAGTCAGGCTGGGGGGGATATTTGGGGGAAGGGCTTGTTGGGCCGCGAATCCACCCCTAGGCCGGGAAAGGCATGCCCTCGAGCGATCGTCCCCCTGTTGCCGGGGGTCCGATCAAGTGGTATATCGTGCGCGCGCGGATTGGGCGCCGCCGTGCCCTTGTCTGCGTGTGGCGGTGAGCGCGATATGGACCGCACACCTCTGCGGCCTTCTTGCCGGCCCGGACATGGGGGGCGGTTCGCCCGAGGGCCCCGGGCATGCGGGCCTCGTTCTCCTGCGGTGGTGTCGGTGAGGGTGGCGTATGCGCTCCCGGCGCGCGGTGCGTCGTGCCTCGGCAAGAAGCACGCAGTTGCGGGGAAGGTTGTGATGCCGTTCACCTGGCCGTTTTGTGTCGCTCTTACCGGTGCCCAATGTGGGCATGCGGCCCCCCGCAAGCGCGCGCCCGCACCTCCAATGGCTTGGACCGGGGCGGCAGGCCGCAGATTGCGCGTGGCTGCCGATGGCGGGCCCCCCGGCCGTGTATGATGCCATCAGCGGCGGGGCACGCACATGCACCGGCGTGTGGTCGCATCTTCCCGGCCCCCCCCCCCCCCCCCCGCACCGCCCCTTGATCTGTCGCCCGTTGGCCTTAGTTCTCCGCACCTTGTGGCACCTGCCCACCTCCGCAGCTACCTCGGGAGATCGATCCCGCACTCGGACGGCGGGGCTCCTGCTGCCCACACACCCACACCCGCGCGCGCGCGCATGAAGTTCCTCAGTCCCGGCGGTCCGGGCGCGCCCTTCCGCGGAAGTGTAGGGTTAATCCCGAAAATCATACCTGACCCTAAATCTCCCGGCCGAATGGGTTCCCCACTGCCCCGCCAAGCGGAAAGGGCGACCGTGGGGCGCGGGCGGGGGCGGGAACCGGCGCCCCCTCCGCCGGGCGGTGGTGTTATGGGCACCCCGTTCGGCTCCGCGAGCGCACGCCCCCGGGCGCAGGTGGCCGTTTTCAGGATAGGGAGACCTGAATAGGGAGGCCCATTCTCCCTTGGCCGGGTCTCTGCTCGGCCATTTGTCCAATTTCATGGCCGTGCTGGTGCCGGTGTGCCGGTGAGCCGGTCTGCCGCGCGGGCTCGCAGGAGCGGGCGGCCGGCCGGGCCAACGCATCCTGGTAACATGCCCCGAGGAGTCTCTCTGCGTGTGTCGATTTTCTCTTCCCCCGCCCCCCCCCCTCTCCCGGTGCTTCGCTGGGGGAGCAAGCAGGGCCGGGGGGGGGGGGGGGGGTTCATTTTTACCCCTCCCTCCGCGCGGGGGGCGGGGGGCCCCGCCCCCCCCCGGCCCGGAAGGGGCCCCCCCCCCCCCCCCTCGGCCCCGGGCCCCGAGCCCTCGCGTCGCGGCCAGCTCGGGGCTTCGTGTCTTCCGGTCTCGCGGCCCCACGTCCCATGGGGCACTCTTGCCAGAGGCATCTTCCCCCTTGACCAAGGGCATGTATGACGGCCGCGGCGGCGACGACGACACTCCGAGCCAGGGGATGAACGCGCCAACCCCCCACCGGTGAATTCCACCTGAGTAACGGTATCCAGTGAATGCCGTACCACGCATTCTTACCTTTCCTTGCCAGGTTAGCAGTTGACCCAAAGGTCTACATGCGGTGCGCGCGCCGAGGGCAGCAGCAGCAGCAGCAGCAGCAGCAGCAGCAGCAGCCGGGCGAGACAGAGCCAGACCGAGCAAGACAAAGCGAGAGGGGGCGAGAGAGCGAGACCCGGGGGCAGGCGGACGAGCATCAGTGCGGGGGCAGGTGTGGGCGAGAGCCTTGGGGGCCCATGCAGATATACTCAAACAGGTGCACCCCCCCCCCCGCCCCCGCCCCCGCCCCCGGCCATTTGAGCGTTACGGCTCCGGGACCGGCTGCCAGGGGCTGCAGGGCTGGGGGGTGGTACCGGCTCGAACTGGGTCGGTGTATATATATATAAGTGTCTGTGTTGGCTTCCCCGACCGTGGCGGCGAGCCACATGTCCACACGGCCGGCGGCCAGGGGGGCGGCGGTGCTCGCCTTCTCCCCTCGTGCCCCAGCCACAACGCCTGCGCCGGGCGCGTCTCGGGCGCACTTCGTTCCTCGAGCCTGGGGCCCCTTTTCACGCCAACACCGCGAGTGTCTGAACGTGCTCCCTGGGCTCTGGGACGAGCGAGGGGGGCAGCCCGGCGCCGGTGCAGCTGCCTCTAAAAGGCAGCGGGGACACACGCCGGCACGTTGTTATTTTTTCTATCGTGCCCCCCGCCCGGCCCGCCCCCTATCCGCCGCTGCGCGAGCTGCAGGTGCATTACCAGCGCGCCTACCTCGTCTGCAGAGAGCATGCCCGCCCACAAGGGCACGCCTTTGTTGCTGGCTCGGTCGGTGGACGGACCATGACCCCCTTCCCGCCCTACTCCCCCCCCCGGGAGGGCGTGCGATGAAGTGCGCAATTTCGCCCATCTCCACCCGTGGGGGCCTCGCCTTTGGGTCTTGCTCCGGCCGGCGTACGGACGCGCGGATTCCGCCCCGGCCTTGCCCCTCGGGTCCCGTGCTCCGGCCCTCGGGTCCGCTCATTTGCATCTTCCAGCCTCCTCGGGCGCCCTGGTTGCCAGAGACCTCGGGCCTTTTCTGCTCGCACCACCACCCATGCCAGGAGCCGGGCCGGACCCAAATAATGTGCAAGGTCGACCCCGTGGTGCGACACACTCTCGCCCGGCTGTGTCCCGGCAGGTGCACCCTCACATCTGGGCCCGGTGTCCGGCCGGTGTGGTCTTTGTATTTTGTTCCGGCGCCCGGGGCCCATGCCGCGGCGACCTGGTGCCGAGCGTGCTGTCCGGCGGGGGGCTTGCACGCGTGAGAGCACATGCGCCTGCTCACAGGGCGGCACGCCGAAAAGTAACAGTCCGCACAGCCCCGGCCCCGGGGTGCAAAAAAAAGAAAGGACAAAAGGATCCCGCCGTTACTGCGCCCCGGTCAGGAAGGCTGGTCTAGCGCCGGGGGCCTGTGACAACACCTCCCCCCCCGCCCCCCCGCCCCCTATGGCCCTCGGGACGCTCCAGGCCGCCAGTCCCCTTTGCCTGCGATGGTGGCAGGCCCCCCCCCCCCCTCCGGCCAGGCCGGGGTGCCGGGGATGGCCGGGCGATTACCCCCCCCGCCCGGCGCAGGGGCCAGCCATCGGGCCCAGTTGACCATTCCCCCCCCCCCCCGGCTGGGGCCGGGCAACGGTCGAAACTGGCAGAACACCCGCAATTGCCCC